GACAGAGGTCCGCGCCCAACCGCTGGCCAACAACTGTTGGACTTCAGAGGCCCTGGAGGGCTCCAACCTCCAACCCCCAGCCCCTCTGAACGGCTTTGCTGAGGGGGAAAACCCGGAGGAGCCTTTCTTATCCCACGCCGGATCCCTGCTCTCTCTTCACGTAGACCTGGGCCCCTCCATTTTGGATGACGTTCTAGGGGTCATGGAGAAGCACCAGATGGAGAACGTGGACTTGCGAGAGTCTGGCAGGCAGGAGATTCTCACATGATGCGGGTCCGTCTGCTGGAAGGACTCCTAAAATCGGGCGCTTTGTGGAAGAGGGGGTGTGTTATTGTTGACTGGGCTCTGTGACGTGGACGTTTGGGATGTGGGTGTGTTTGTGGAAAGGGGTACAACTTATGAAAGGTACAACTGCCTTCCGACTTCCGGCCTTTTAATTGACAGCTTCTCTTTCTTTCGTGCATCGTGTAGCAGCAAAATCAGTCTTTGCAACAGCCTTTTCCTAACCCGCTGCCCTTCTCTCGTTCTCCTCCAGCCCAGCTGCTGGCCTGCTGTAGGAGGAGCATGGGAGGTGTAGTCTGACCCAGAAGGCGCCAGGCCTGCAAAAGTTATCCTACACACATCACTGCCACGCTGCCAAAACCTGTATCGAAACGGCATAATAAATTCCTCGTGGTCGACTACTTATCCTTCACTAAAAGAAGGAAGATGACCGGGAAGACAAAATTGTAGCCGCCAAGAGTTGGGTTGATTGTATGTTCTTTTGTGTAGGAGGGGTGGGAATTAAGTTACGTTGGCCTGGTTGCCCAGGGCTGTTAGCCCGGTTTGGAAAGAGCGTGGCTCTCTCCGTGTTGCAATATAAACAAAAGTCAGAACTGGGCTGTATTTCTGAATTTTTCGATAGGAATGAAGCGCCCCGTCGCTCGTTTGGCTAGAGGAGAGTTGAGGTTGCCCGATGCACAACGCTAAAATGTAGCCAGCATGATGTTGCTGGCCCAACAGATGGTCCCTATTTCCAAGGGTCTCCTGAAAGCTTTGCCTGTGGTCCCCTGTAATGGGGGCTGCCAAACTGTGATTTCGGATGGGACTGAGAAAAAGGATGTGACCCTTGGGGAAGTCACGATCTTCACTGTATGGGAAGGCTTAATGACATATAAGTTCAGGACGTTGGTGGCATGCTTGTCCCCCCCATGGGGGCGAGATTTTCAAAAGCTGCTGGGATCTGTTGAAATTGGGGCCGATTTTTAGGGAGAGGGCTAGAAAAACACCACTCCTGGTGTGGGTGAGATGGCCCTAGGTCAAAGTTTCTCAACTTCAGCCATTTGAAGATGTGTGGACTTCAACTCCCAGAATTCCCCAGCCAGCATGGCTGGCTGGGGAA